GGTGCAGTACAGCCGGTACACCGCCTTCAACCTTCCGGACCCCTTTGCGCCCACTCCTCACTTGGTCCTAAGTCTTTTAGGTCAGTGATGGTTCATGTGCTTTCACTGTGGCTTGACACCTGTCAACTCTTCATGTCACCTGCTTCTTTAGTTCCCTTCTGCACCTCCCTGTTCCCTCCCCCTGGTTTGGTTGTTGGGTTTTTGTCTGAGAAGCATTTGGAGCAGGGAACACACCCCGTTTTCTCCTCAGGGTGATGCTTTCTTTGTCACTGTCAAGGTTTGGGAACTTGCTGTCACTCCCTGATGCTGCCCCCTGCCTTGTGTGGTCAGCTTCTCAGGGGAGGACTGTCCCATGGAAAATAGGGACATAAGATACAGCACAGCTTTTTTTTAAGGTCTTTTATTCGTGTCTGTAATATGTGTAATACAGCACTGGGTTTTACCTCTGCCTTTGAGAATTGAGCATTTCTCAGGTTGTCTTTTGGTCACACCTGAGAAGCCCAGTTGGATTTAGAAGGCTTTCATCATGGGAGGGGGTCTTCTTTAATCCGCACTGTGCAGCCATTCTGCATATCTGGGCCTTACCAAGACTTCTCTGCATATCTGGCCTCAGGTCCGCTCTGTTGCACGGCACAAGCTGCTCCCTACGGCCAGCACCTGTGTATTGGCCGTTGTGGGACCTGTTGGCCCTGCTCATCGTAACTGCAGTCTTCCCAGAATGGGACACAGCACCCATTACATACCCTTGGTGAATCATGGTGTGTAAAGCATCAGCCATGCTTGCCTCACCTGTCCTAGAAACCTGAGCTACAGTATTGTAGCTACACTTGCCCTGAATGAGTGTTATGGGCAAACCCTGTGTGTCCAGGCTCCCTGCGTCGGAAGGGCTTCCAGCAGGTTGGTGTGAATATTCCATATGGAAGATGATATCTTTCTCTTTCAGATGCATGGAGGGTCCCAGTGAAGGTGACTGCAGAGCTCTTGATGCTTCTTCTGCCCCACACCCACAGTGGCCATTG